AATTATATTAATATAATTAATATATTTAATGTATATTTTTAAAAAAAACTACTATATATCTATATAATATTTGGGAGGAGTCATGTTCCCAAACCTCTTTCTTATCTTGTTTTGGAAAGTCTTGTCAAAATTATTTTCAGATCAAAATAAGACCCATTTTAATATGATCAGGATGAAATTGAACCAATCTAAATGAGTACAAATTAAACACCCCTATTAATATCAATGTAAAAAAAAGTAAAAATAATAAAAGTGTATAAAATTTTAAATATATTTTTTATAATAAATTTAAAAAGTAATTTCATATTATTTTTTTATGAATGGTAATTTTAAACATATCTTTTAGATATTATTTAAAATAATCACATTATAATTTATAAATAAAATTAAATAAATATTTTAAAATGTAGACCATACTTTACAAGAGTGGCGGAGTAATTATTGCAATCTCTCTCAGAAAAGAGAAAGTTTTGTTGGGTAGAGTAGTTTGTCCAAAATGTTAATTGGGATATTGATAACCACCAGAAAAGCTCTTCATTCTCAACTACTCCACCTGTGCTGAATTGAAAATTATTATAAAAAATTGAAGATTTGAAGCAAAAATAGATATGAGGGAAAAGTTGAAGATTTGAAGCTCCTAGTATGTATATCTCATTTAGCTTCTTTTTTTTTTTTTAAATACGACGAAATTTTTTTACGAGTCTAAATCTAATCCTTGGGATAAAAGCTATTTGATATCTGATGGTAATTCACTAGCTCTTGAAGAAAACAGAGTGAACATAGGAAGCAGAGTTAGAATGGAAAAGGAAATATTAGACGATCAGATTGGAAAGCCCTGTGAAGAAAGTTTCGGACAGAAAGATATGAATAGCTTCACCGGAGTAATAGGAGAAGACTCTTCCAGATCATGCTTGCAAATTGATAGAAAGCAATGAACATATTTTCTGCAGTGAGAGGTAAAAGGTTAAAGGTGTTCTTTGTTATGGTGGAAAGATTAAAAAGAAAAGTCCTACTTGTGTGCTAATGTGGGGCAAGTGTTTTTCACATTATCACTCATGTCATGTCTCCTGAAGTAAAAGTATTGAAATTGCAACTGATCTTTTCATGAATTTTAGTTTTATATCCTATAAGAGTCTTAAGGTAAAAACTTTCCAAAACTGAAGTGCTGCATGGTAGAGAGAGATTGGTCCATTCCATGAAAGAGAAATGACTTATTGCATGAATAAGTGAGACAATGTCAACAAGCTGTCATCATAATAAACTGAACAAGTGGCTCGAAGAAACATAAAAAAAGTGGACTGTGGAGGGCCATTGCTGAGCTGCTTTTCTGCAGGGATTTGAGGAACTGATTGAATTTAAGATTGAATCTTTATCCACACACTGAGAGAGAATTGTTTGTAAAGAACGGGTGATCACAGCAAGAAACGGGCATAGGATGAAATGTTGAAGATTAGAAGCGCCTACTTAATAATGATGATATATAAGCTATCCATGGGATACAACACCAAAAAATTCTTTAGTTATATCTCATTTAGTTTTTTTTATATAAAAATATGATGTAATTTTTAAAAAAGGCCAAATCAAGGGCTGTTGAGTTACAGATTTTGTTATTTGTCATGTTTTCACCAAGAATCAATGAGTTGGGTTTGGGAGTTTAAGATGTAATGGTAAAGAATTTATTCACATTCTTAATTTTTTTTATGAATTTCTTTCTTTTACTACATGATAATTTAGTAGGATTCATCTTCGAAAAAATCACATTACATAAAATGTATTCACATTCCTAATTTTTTTAATGAATTTCTTAAATCACATTACAAGGCAAATGGGGTAAAGAAAGAGACTTTTATTCATAAGATCGAGTAAAACTAGGCCAAGAAAGCCATGGCCTATATTTTCTTTGGAAGGAATAAAAATTCACTTAGTAGAGGTAGAAATACTTATAATTTGGGTTGATATTTTTTTTAATACAATATTAGGAAAGGATTGGTTAGTGCGTTTGAAATAGCAAAAAGGCCGAATATTATTATTATTTTCCGGAAATATTGTAGTATTATACGTGATGGCTTAATACTTACAACCTAAATACTCACAGTAACATGGTGAATTTTTTTTTTAAAGAAAATTTTAGTGCATGTAATGACTTGACATCCCTCGTGGGGAAAAAAAATGGAACTAACGTAACCTCTGAAATTTGAAACCCTTCTTTTATTGTCATAAATGTTAAAGTTGAGCGGTTGACTTCCCAGCCAAGCATTTCATCCTCCCATGAGACGCATCGTTCATCACAATGCCCCACACGATTAAAAGCTAATAAAATAATGATCCTCTTCCCTCGTGGCTCACAATGACAAAACTAAGTCCACTTTTGCTAGTATAGTAGTTGGTAATTCAGGTTAACTAAGCTGATAAACTAGTTTGTATGAGCATGAAAAATTTTAAAGTGGAACATGAGATTTTAAAATTTTAGCTTTATTTTGCTTGTGTGTTTGAATTAATAGAATTTGAATTTGAATAAAATTCTTTATTTGAATATATAAAAATTTATAAATTTAAATTTGTTTCAAATCTACTAAATCAATTTCAAATTATAATTTCTTTAGAATTTTAATTTTTTTTACATTTTAATTATTTAAAATTTTAATTACTTTAAATATGTTGATCTTTTTTTGTTTTTACTATTGATACTTCTCTGAGTCCTGTATATTTTTTTCATCTCTCATTGATTAAAAAATAAAAATAAATTTATCATTTTTAATTTTGTTGTTTTTTTAGAAACTCAATTCATATATCTTCTTTATTTAAATTTTTTTAAACTACCTGAACAAAAAATTTTAGATATATAAATTTTAAATGTAATTTAAATTTAAAATTCAAGTTTAAATTTATCAGTTCAAACATTACCTGAACTTATTTAGGTCACTCAAATAATTTTAAAAAAAATTGGATTAAGACCAACTCCAAATGAGCTTGATTCAAATACATGAATTTTTTTTTAAATTAACCAAATAAAATTAACATTTACTTTAGCATTTACTGCGTACTCACCAACCTTCGTAATTCATTCATGTCTCGTTCTTAAATGAAATTTCAACATTTCAATAACTATTTATCTTAAATCTTTTTGAAAATGTTAAGGAAAAATGAACACAAGAAATTACTTCATATACTTTCATTTTTACTCTTTCAATGGCTAGTCTTACATTATAAAAATGTTAAGGAAAAATGAAGAATAATTTTAAAAATATTTTTTAAATATTAATTGAAGAGTCATACCATGACTTTTAAATAAGACCAAATGAATTTTTTAGATTATCCCTTATAATTGAGACCAAAGAGAATATATCGTACTAAATGTTATACTATCATTTATGTCAAAATTGTATTTATAATTTACATTTACGGTGAAAAATAAGAATGAGTAGAAAATATCTGCATATAGTATTCATTATATGTTTGCTTTTGTTTATCAATTAAAGTTTATTTGATTTATTGAATTTCTTGAATATTAAAAATTTTATTTGGTCGATTACAATTTCTAATTTTAATGACAAAATGATTTCCTACACTATTTCAATATACTCACCCTTGAAAATGTTCTTGCAAAATGTAATGTTTTATTTAAAGGTCCTTAAATTACTCATGCAATGCACAGGGCTCTATTACTATTTACTTTATATACTTTCATTTTTACTCTTCCAATGATTAGTCATACATTATTAATAAGGATAGAACAAATTTTAATTTTTCAAGATAAAAATTAAAATTAACTAAAAAAAGAAATAAAAAAAAGTTCTAACAATTTAAGTATTAAGATCGGTTTAAATAAATTCAAAAACATGAGGTGTTATTGTCAAGCACATATATTTTTACATAATTTTTTTAATATGTTGGAGTATTTTAATTTCAACCCATCTAAATTACCATTTCTAATTTTTATGTTAGAATGTTTTGGTAGAGGGAGTCAAGCATAAAGTTATAAGCTTTCACTCAAAACAAATAGTATGTAGAGTAAGCAAAACAAAACAAACATTACAAGTGAAACTGTGCCATTGTGTGAATCAGACCCTCCAATGCCCTTCTGCTATTTTGTCGTTCTTTCTGTTCTTCTTCCTTCACGCTTCCTCTTTCTTTCTTTCAATTCCTTTTTTTTTTAATACAGAAAAAGAAGCAAATCGCCCATCAACAAATCTTTCACTTTACCAATTAAGCCAATCTTATAAACTATTGACACTTACATATATGCTCTTTCTTTCATTCTCTTCATCGACCAGTGGCTTTTATAGGACAAGTCATCCAGAATCACTCCCAATTAGAGCTCCAATTTATCCCACCATTCATGCTCTTTTATCCTTCTTTGGATTGGATTCGATTTTCTTTATTTTAGGAACTGATTTCAAGAACCTTCTCATCAAGCACGTAAGGAGCCACAAGTCTGATTTCTTTTGCTTTTTTTTTTTTTTTTTTTGCATTCTCATTTGAAGATGATCGGACAAATACAGTATTTGTCCTGTATAGTTTGATTTGATGTTTAGTGGAGAAATTTGTTCAATATGTGTTAGAGTCGGTAGCCTCTGTGCCATATCTTTAATTTGCTTGTTCATGATCTTCGTAGTGTTCTCGAGGGATGGATTCATAGGCAGCATCTAGTATGCATTTAACTATTGTTTTTCTTTTCTTTCTTTTTTTTTTTCCGAAGGTGAAGGATATTTTAGTAATCTGCTATTAAAATGTACATTTTAATTTAATTTTCATAATATTCAAGGATAATACCCGAGCTAACCCAACCAGTGCGCACTCTAGTTATAAGTTTGTTTTTTTCATTTTTTTTAATGAAAAAGAATTAAGTTTAATTTTTCCAGCTCATTCCCATATCCTTTAGTATTGCCACTTGATATTAAACTTTAGATCCCACTTTAGCTTTAATGTAACAGAGTTTGTCCAGCTCACATTTTCAGGGGACAAATTACAAGGAGTATTTGCGAATTTTTAAACTATGGCGACTCAAGTGAGAACCTAGTAAAATTGTGGGGACAGATTAATAAATTCCCCTTTTAAATTATAAATAAATTTTAAACATGTAAATTGCAAATGAATACGCCAGCGAGATCTCCCGCCATAATTCTGCGTCGCGGATTTCGTCAGATTACTCATCCTCGCTTTCAGCTTCGTTGTAGTTGAAAGGTAAGGGCACGGACTTGAAAGCTCGGTACTTGCCCACATTGTTCAAATGCTCGTTCTCCACTCTGAAAATTTTGAATTGTAGCAAATTCGCTGCTCGGTCATTTCAGCTTCTGAAAAATTCGGACAATTCTGAAGCATTAGGCTCTTTCTTACCTGAAGAAGTTCCACATGCCCCGACGTATGATCTCTAGGCTCGCTATGATGCTAATCATTGCTTCTCTATGCAGAAAGGCAAGCCTGATCCCCAATACTGTCTGTAACCACGCAAATCTCAGCAAGATGTTTACCACCTGATCAATTCGAATTTGTTAGGAATTCCTATATAGATATATATATATATATATATATATATATTTTTTTTTCAAAATCTGCTTGAAGATTTCTATGTTAATTTCATACCATGGCTGCGAAATATACGTTTTTCTGAGTTAGTATGAGTTTGTCTCTTAACCAGCGATTCTTGGAATTCCTTTGCAGGAGGCCCCAGTCGATGGCGAGGTCCCAATACGTAGAATAGATTGCTGCGAATATTGAGAATATCCAGGCAAGCACCTTCCAACTGATTCCTTTATTAAGGCTGTAAGCTGTTCGGATGCAAACAGCTGCTAGTGTGAGGAAGTATTTTACCGCATTATATCCTTGCATTGAATCTTTCTCTTCGAAGAGTCGCCTAAGGCACTGATAGGAGAAAGAGGAAGATCATTTGGGGGCTAGGAAGCAAAATTAACAACTGATAATTCTTTTTTTCTTTTTTTTGCGCATAACTACTGATAATTCTGACGCAAGAAAATTGGATGTTTTCCTATGTGTTTTTGTATCTGTTCTGCTGTTCAGATGCTTCTTTCTAAAAAGCGTCTTTGCTTCCTAGTATGGAAGTCAAATTCATATACATAGCAGAACCAGGGAATTCTACCTTATTCTATCTCTTTTAAGCGCCATCTAGCATCGTATGAAGTGTCTGAGAGAGCGAGAGAGAGTTGGCACCTGAAGAAAACGACACATGTACGGAATCGCGGCAACAATGAAGGAAAATGTTTTGAAAATGGCGTTTGAGTTGCAAGTGTTCCGTCTGTACTTGAAATCTCCCCAAACGTAGTAGCAAATGTAGAACTCTAAACTTCTGAAGGCTTGCACCTGGATGCATAAAAAGGAATGAAATGGGATATGTAAAGCGCTAGAGCATTATGATATCATTTTTCTTTCTCACGAACCTGGCTTGTAAGTTGATCTGCCAAGAAGAAATCTGAGAACGTGACCTAGGGACCATTGGAAGTAACACAGTTTAGATTTCCGGAGAAATATAGAGTTAAATTAGTGGGAAATTTTTCTAATTTTATGTCTTCCCCCCATATTGTTTACCTTGTAGAGAGGAGCGCAAATGCAGTGAAACAGGCATGTAAGGAAGAAAAGCCGGCTTGGACGATAAAAGATGTTGAATGGGCATGATAAAATGGCAAATACAATCTGCAGAGGAAGGAACCAACTCATAATTTAAGTTTAGAAGCTAAAAGAAGATCTAATGAATTCTATGAAAGTGTAATAGTCTTACAAGTAACAAGATTAGAGGAACAAGTTCAGTGAAGACTTTGTATGGTTTTGTCTTTGGATCCATCTCCATGTCAAGGTTTGCAAGCACACTGGCTAGTGCCATTATTGCGAGGACAAAAGCCAGGAGCAGGACATCAAAGTACTTCAACTCAGAGCCTTCCTTAAGACCGAATATGAATGAGTGATTCACTCTGTAGCGCCTCCAGAAGTATATATTAGCAGCATACATAAGCATGTGTAGAACTATGAATCCAAACAAACTGCAGAAAATGTTTTTAACACGGTAAAGCACAGGCATGAGTTTTTGTTCATTAGATGAAGCTTAGTTTTTGAAAGAAAAATTCGGCACAATATAGTTGGAATGAATAGGTTACCTATAAAGAGGAAACATGGTTTCCATGTATTGGGTACTTCCCGGGTGATTCATAATCTTGCGGGCATCAATGATCAGACAAAGTGCTATAACTAGGGCTGCTGTGCATCCGGCATAAAAACCTGAAAATCCAAACAAGAGAAAAGTCGGGGAATCAAATCAAAGACCAAACATCATGTTGTTCTGAAAATTTCTGAACTATAGTAAATCACAGCTCTTACCCACAGAAAATGTTATTCCATGCCTTGCTCTTTTCGGTTTGGGTTGGAGAAGGTTCAATCCATTGTTACGATTTGAGTTCGAGAAGTGCTTAATGAATGTTTTCTCCACCCTTTCTATAAGCCTAGTGACCTGTGCAGGAACGTCGAGAAATTGTAAGGATCTTAGAAGTCTGCTGATTCATGTTGACAATTTTTGGAAAATATTGAAGTTGTGCTTTATGGCTTTCTTTCCTTATAAAGCTCTCACCTCATCAGAGCTGCCGAGGTAGGAATTGTCAACCATGCTCATGTAAGCTTTTGCTGCCCTTCTTGATGTGATCTGTTAAGTGTAAAGTGAAATGGGATGAGGGGCTAATTAACTAAATTTCCTGTCTTTCCTTTTCTTCCGGATTGTAGTTCTAGAAAGGTCAATGGTACCTTATCATATTTCTTCATTATCTTTGAAAATGCCAATGTGTTTAGAAAGCTGTTTAATCAGCAACGACACAAGTTAAGAAGAAACATGAAGGAAATTGTTTGTTGAAATGGGGGGGAAAGAAATGAAAAAATACCTGTAGTTCTTTAGAAGTCGAAGCTTTCTGTGGAATTCAATAAAAGCTTGTTTAAGTTGTTCCTCAACCTTTTTCAAATTTTTCCTGCTGAATTCTTGCTCCGGTGGTGTAGAGTAATTGAGGATGCTCTTTATAGTTGAACGAGGAGTTTCAAGAGTGCCATTCAACTGAACATGGTCAAGGACTTCCAAAGGAGCTGGTTTGGTACTCGTGATATTCTCTGACTCCTCTTTTTGAAACTTCTGGTTATTTAATTGAATTGTGTCATCCTTATTCTCCCTGGAATCATCTGATAGACCGTGATGGCTGCTGTCCTCTTTGATCGCCTCCAAGGCCGTGGAAAATGTTCCTATTTTTGAAGTTGAAGAAGATTTAACCAGTAAGTAAATTCCGTGGCAATTCTAGAAGCTCGGTTAATCTATAAGATGATCATGTTAATCTATATCTACCTAGCATGCCAAAGGTCTACAAATTTAATGCCTCCATAGACTCTAAAACACTAGAATAAATAGAAAGATAGGCTGAAAATTATTGTGAAACCAAGATTTAAAAAAGCTTACGGTGCAATTTGGCCCCTTTAGGTGTCGAAGCTGACAATGCTGCCGCTGCAGCAGCAACATCTGAAGCAAGATGAGTCATCTCTGCAGAGCTATTGATCCATTCGGTAGGTTTCTCAACTTTTATCCGGAAAGCAATCAAAGCTTCCATTTGTTTGTTTAAAATAGCAGCTTCCTTCATCACTTCTTCCACTTTAGACCTATAAAACTTGTCCACTTTGTTAAACTCATCATCGAGCCTCCTGAAAAATACCAATTCATATTCTCCACCTTCTTCTGCAACCATCAGAAAAGTAGTTTGATAGTTCTCAGATCCATCTCGGCGCACTGAGTTCACCATAATGGCTTGGTTCTCAACATCCTGCTCAGAGGGACTGATGGAATGGTGGGGTTGTCTCTGAATGAGCCCACTGAAACTCCTGTATAGTGATAGCTTTCGCTTTAGGCTTCTTGGAGGTTCGGGTGGCGTGTCTCTATGCTTGGAGCGTTGGACAGTTTTCAAAAGGGCCTTCAAATAATTATAATCCATGTATGCTTCCTTCCATTCCGGCACCATCTGTGCTTCAAATTCTTTCCCAAACTTCATTCTTGGTCTTTTTAAGCAACACAAACTATCTGATATGTGATGTGAGCAGGAAGTAGGTTTAGAATGGAAAGGAAATATTGGATGATCAAACTGAAAATCCTTGTGCTTAAAGTTTCTGAAAGGAATGTTGTTTATACGTGTACTTTTTAGATCACCAAGATGATTTTCTTCTCTCTTTTTTCAAATTGTGAGTATCATCTTATAAGAGTCTTTAGGTTGAACTTTTCCTAAACAACAGGGCTGCATGACACAGATTCATCCTTTTGTTTTGTTTGGATGATTCCATAAAAGAAAAATTCCTCATTTCATGTATAAGCTGGACTTGACAAACTGGTTTGAGTGAGAAAAAGTCTGCTGTGAGTACAGTTACTGAATATGACAGACTAAATCCAGAAATTTGTCTGCCTTTCATTTATGAAACATATTATATACCTGAGAAGTTGAGTAATTCTTCCCATCTCATGGCACAAAAAGTTTTGATAGATAGAGTTGTTTATTCTAAACATTGCTCGTGATACTTTCAATGAATTTATGCATTGTGTCAAATTCAGGAACCACCAAAAGGCCCTTGATTCTGATAGAAAACAACCAACCCATAGGATAAAACAGAGGAAATTCTTTATTTATTTCTCATTTTGATTTTTTTAATAAAAAATATTATAAGACCGAATGAGATACTTCCCAAGTGTTGAGTTACGAAATTTTTTATTTGTCATGTTTTCACCAAAAAATGAAGAAATTAAGAAATATAAAATTTTCTCCTGATCCTAACTTTCTCCCTATCTGAACATTGCCATTCAGCTTTTTTTTTTTTCCTTTTTTTAAAATAATAAATGGTCTTTTTTCCAATGATGTTTCGGTAAAGGTGCTAAAGATGGTTGTTAAAAGAATGACATTAGAATTAGTATTTTACAAATTATTTTACATTTGAAGATAAAGAAGTTTCCTTTCAAAGTTTGATGCATGAAACATTGATTTAATCTTTCTATTTTTTAAAAAAAAAAAAACCCAAAGAAACTTATAATTGTCCATCCTCGCTTTTGTCTCATATTGTACTATTCTTAACTTTGACATTATAATTCACACTAATTTATTAGTCTCGTTATAATAAATTTTCATATAATATAAATTTAACAATTTTAAATATATGCTTATTGTATATAAAATATGTGAAAACTGTTCTGGTTAGACACATCTGGTTCTTGGATACAGAAAGCAGTAATATAAGATAGTGGTATAAAATTGAACAGCTTTGCGAAGAATTATTCCCTTTAGTGTCGGAGTTCTTTCTTTCTTTTTTTTTTGGGCCTAAACGTCGGAGATCATTGAGTGGACTTTGTTTTTTGGTCATGACAGGAGCAAAGCCCCCCTCATTCATTCAGCAAAATTTCACGTAAGAAAGAAACTCCCACAGTATCACTGTACAAAAAATCCTGTAATCCACGCTCATTCAATCGAACAAAATCAAAAGACAAACTAAAACTATAATTTGCGAGCTAGTCAGCACATCTATTACTTTCCCTGTACACTTGTATAAACCTAACATTTCTGAAATGAAAAACTTATTGCAGAATTAAATCAATCAACAATCTGCAATTTTCTATATCATTTATACAAGACCCCTGTAACCTATTAATTACAGCTAAGGAATCACCTTCAACAACCAAATTGATAATACCCAACTCTGACGCCATCTTCATTCCCCACAAAATTCTCCAAAATTCAACATTTATAGCAAAACAAATGCCAAGCTCCTTAGCAAAACCACCTAACCAACGTCCACATTCATTCCTCAACAATCCGCCACACCCGGCTCTTTTTGATGCCCTTTTTGCTGCTCCATCAAAATTCAATTTCACCCAGCTACTGTCAGGAGGCTCCTACTTAATCTCTTTGATCACATAACTTTTCCTCAGCAAATTCCCAGCAAGATTCGGATTTTCCAATTCCCAAACATACTTTCTAATAACATAGCTAGGTTTATCTACCACTTCAAAACCATCCTCAAACAATGTTTTATTCCTTCAATGCCATTGCCACCAAGTTACAGCAAATAGTCTCCTCCATTCATCATTCTTACTCAAATTTACAGCAAACCAATCTTTAAAACTCAGACTGAAAAAAATTAAAATCAACCTCACCTGATTAAAGATCCATCCACACCTTGACAGCAGCTTCACAATCTCTAACTGCATGCAACAAATCTTCAACAACTAAACCACATCTACCACAAATTGCAGAACCTCCTAACATCCTCGCTTTGCTTTCTCAAGTGAGAAGTCTATCATGTTAAGCAATCCAGAGAAAAACCTGCACTCTTCTCGGACCTTTCCAGCTCCAAATCCACCTCCATGTGCTATCCATTTCCCCAAAAACTTATAGCCTTCATCTTCCAGTACATATCTGCATCATTAAAAGACTCAGAATTGGCACCCTTCCATCTTATTCTGTCACAGCCAAACTCAGCCCTAGGCCTAGGTACAGCCCTAAGCTTTAACATTTCATTCTCACTCAAGTAGTCTTTTAAAAACATCATTGATTGGACTTTTATTCATCAATAAACCCACATTATAATAGCTGGCATGGTTTATGCACATCAAATTAAATTGTACTGCATCCATTTTATACCTATTATTCTTGTTTAAGATTATGCACATAAATTAAAAAAAATTAAGTACATTAGCTAAAAGGCTCTTATTTAAGAGCAAGAAGTGGGACAATTCATATTAAAAAAAATAGATGAAAAGAAGAGATGATGAAAAAAATATAATTAAATATGTGAGTTGGCAAAATAGTTGATATAAAATCATAAAAATTTGAAAAAAAAAATGATGAAACAACGACAGGTATATATAAAATGGAAAGAGTATAAAATTTTTTGAAGATAATTAAACATGCCTAATCATTTGGCCTAATTAAAATTAGCCTCTAAATTTTGATTTAATAAAAATCAATCTATATAATTTTCATCATTTAAAAAATTGATCCCACACATTTAAAAAATAGCTTTAATCCTTTTAGTTTTATTTTTTAAAACATAAAAACTAATATTTAAAATAGTTAAAATTATAAATATTGAATTATACTGAGTCAAAATTTAAGAATTGAGTTTTAATTGAGTTAAACAATAAAAACCAAACTGCATTAAGTTATTGAATTTTAACTAAATAAAAATATAAGGACTAAAATACCAAATGATTGATGTTGATTGTTGCCTCAATAAATTTTATAGTCTTGTAAAATAAAAATTTTGCTATGTACGAGTATTTAGTCCATCTATTACAATTATGCTCTTTTTTTTTTCCCTTTCTCTTTTCAGATCACATAAAGTCGGTTTTGTAGATTTAATTCAAAACAGATATGGCGTTCCTGCTTGGTGTCATGGCTTAGAAGAAAGTAATTTTTTTTTCTGTGCATAATTATATTAAATGATAAACAAAAGTGACAAAAGAATAGAACGAGAGGGAGCATTTCTAATTTTATTTTTTCAAAATTACAAAGACAAACACTAACAGGTAACGACTTGAAGTTACAGGAAAGATCGATGCTGTAACTTTTCACTTATAATGAAGCTTTCATGTAACATTAGTGTAGGCCTTTTTACTAATATACTATAAACACTACAACCAATTGCCTAAATGCTAGAACATAAAAAATATTTATTAAAATATTACACCAAAAATTATTTAAATGAAGAATGAGTTTGAGATTGTGAACAAATCAACCTAGTCAAGAATAATTTTAGAATTAAATTTTTTTTATTCAATAAAAAGTAAAAGTAAATAATTTTAACTTTTTATTATTGATGTGAAATGTTATTCGAGAATTTTTGTTTTTTTCCTGCGTGAATAATTTGTCAATTTCATTCTTCATTTATCAAATTCTCCTTCTAACTTTTGCTTTTCACGCATGACATTATAAAATTCATGTGCGTGTGCTTTGAATTGGCTATATAAGGAATTGAAGGCGTACGTTCCTACCTGCTTCTCCTTCCTACTTACTTTATTTCTTGCCTACTTCATTTCCTGCAGTCTCTCATCTCTCTTTTATTCAAATTTCAAAGTTTTTTTTTTCTATCACATTTCTCTACTTCAGTTGGTGGTGTTGATATTGTGATCAGAGTTTAAAGTGCACTTTTCCTTATTATTTACTTAAAGTCTGACTTTTCATCTTATTAAGGTATATTTTCTTAATATTTTTTTAACTTTTATATCAAAATTAATATATTTTTTTCAAAGTCATGAGTAAAAGCTTAATATTTAATTATTAATGTTTTGTATATTAAGTTTTTCTTAATTGTAGATGTTGACATGTGATTAGGTTTTTTATAAAATAATCTCACTCAATTTGAGTCTCATCACATGTTATCCTCATCATCATCCTTTTCAACTCATGCACTCCTACTTAATTTAGATCATTTATGTCTTTATTTGATGATCCTGTACTATTCTGTATTGAATAAAATACTTTTATTTTTAAACATGGTGGATCATCAAATGAAGCATATACCACCCCTCGACAGTCGATTTTTTTAATTAAATCACCTTGATTTGATTTAAAGACGCGAACTCCATATATAAATGAAATACTTGAATCTTAAAAAGAGATGAACATATAACAACACCACTACCACAAGTTTTGAAAAGGAAAACATAATGTGACACTAAAAGTCACTATTTGTGAAGTAAATTAATTTTTACTTTTCATTCATGTATCTTAATCATTTATTATTAATTTGCATAAAACCTAATAATTATTTATTTATTATTAATAACTTTCAATTTAATACAACTTATAATAATTCCTTAATTATATTAATAACAATTATTTACCTATCATTTTCATACAAATGATTAATAAATTATTACACAATTCATTTGATGTGACAAGAGCAGATAAAGTTGATAAATCTTCCTGCCAAGAATAAGTTTTGATGCACGAAGATTAATTTTAAAAATTGTTCTTCCATTGAACAATTTTAGATGTAGTATTTTGAAAAATAATTCCCACAATATAACATTTTGGTATTTTCTTTTAGTGTGTATAGTATCTTTGTAAAAAGAAAGAAAAAAAAAAACCATTAGTGTACTTCTGATGCCTTTGAACTTGCAAGGATTTAAGGTATTTTTCAGTGATAACTTGCACAACTTATAAAGTTTTATCTCATAATATTGCTATATTGATTCTTCGGAAAAATAAAAAGAATTGGGTAGGTAGCTAGCAGTACTTTGTACAAGGACAACACTGTAGGAACTCCACTTGTGTTCCTGTTGTAAAACAACTTTATCATTTCTGCTGGCAACCAGGATAAACTTTCAAATGTCAACGTGAGTCTGAGATAACTATAATGAACACGTTAATTGGGAAAGGAAAAAAAAAATTAATCAATGAGAATGAAAATTTTTCTGAAGCCGTTAATAAAAGCTCCAATTTTTTTTCCCTCTCTTTCTTTATCCCTTGCTCCTTTTTTTCCATTTTGCTTGTTTTCCTACAAAATCGTGTATTCATACCTTAGCTGTGATGACAGTGATCCAGATTCCTCAACGCAGCATCTAAGCAACATTCAAATCAATGCTTCAGTTCTTTGAATCCTCCTATTGGTGATTGGGAAGAACGGTGGTCTTCTAGATTCCATAGCCCTTACCAACGGCACTTCACTTGAGTTATGAGGTCGTAGCAAGTCATCACAATTTGTTACCTCACATAGACACTCCTGAGGGTTTGCGTAGAAGTAGTCTTCCTCCTTCGGCTTGTCTGGAATAACTTGGCGAAGAACTGGTTGTCCCATTCTCTTTTCATGAGCTTGTAGGACAGCCCCGACAAACTCGTTCCATGGAAGTGTGCCGTTATAATGCATATCAATCAATTCTACAAGCTTTTTCCGATCCAATAAGATGGTTTTTTTGAAACCTGAATACCTGTAGGAGAAGTATAGATGTGAACTAAAAATCTTCAGAAAGGCAGGTTCAGTCTTCTACATCAAACCATTTGCAATATGGAGAGCAAATGCTTACCTGCGATGACCTTCCACGAGTTTTGCCATGTTACCGTAATAGGTAGGAATAAAGGTGTTACTAGCTACTGAAACCATAAAATCCAGAGCAGCCATCTGTGATGAATGATTCTGGAATTGCCGCAATTCATCACGATCTAGCAAAGTTTCCTTTTTCACCTAAGTTTAGAAAGGATCGAAGTCAAATACTGCCAAGTACAGCGCATTTTAAGATGCTAGGATCAAGGATACAAAATATGTTAAATAGTCCAGCTCAACTAATCATCAAGAGCCTGTATCTATATCAATTTGCCATCCAAGAGTTGGACAAAAACTATCAGAAGGGAATCAAATATCTAAAGAGTATCAAATTAGGTACACGATATGGATATGTTATATAAAATGTGAAAAGTAAACTTCTCTTGGGTGCAAACGCAGTAATCCATAAGCACATAAGCACAAGGAGTGAAGCAATGGGTTCTTCTTCATTGCTTACAAAATCATTTGGTTACAAAATCATTTGGCAGCATTTTATCAAATAGACACGTGAATAGGAAAAAGAAAAGAAGTGAATAAAGTAAACTTACGATTCGTGGAAATGAAGCTCTCAGTTGTGCAAGTCTACGTTCACTGCCAAAAATATCACCAGCTGCAATATAGATCTGCGTGTCATTGCCAAAACCCAAAGCTTTTAAAACTAGTGCCGCCTCCTCTGGAGTCAAAGGACAGAGACCCTGCAATCTCCTCTCTTCGGACACTATCTCCTTCTCCCTCCACCAAGGGAAAGCATACCTGAATGATGGTAGTAAAATCAACATCTTGTGCTAAACAGTTTCTTTGTTTATCGGCTCATTACAATAACTTTAACCACTATTATTGTTTGAAACAAAGTATGTCAAAATACGACATATTCAACATATCATATAAATTGTGAACAATAGAACAGCTCATCTCCTCAACTAGAAGGTTCCTCAATCAACACCAAGTGAGCAGGATCTAGCAATGTCTAATTCCAAATCAGCTTACTCTCATATTCTGAATATACAAGAAAAATATGAAGATACAATTAACTATCAAGAAAATTATTACTTCAACTACACGACAGAGAACACAAATGATATTCTTTTTTCTTGCTCAGTATGTTATCTGGCAACCATGAAATAGAAAGTAATTTTCTCAGTTAATTACAAGCACACTATACACACAGAAACATGAAACATAATAGACCTCATCCGCTTGAGTTCTTCAGCTTCTTCTTCAGTGCAACCATGAGTACAGCCTGAGAAAGCTAACATGTCCATCTCGTATCTCAGGTGCAAGGCCACAAAAGGTCCTCTCTCTTGAAGCATCCTAATCAATTTGTGCCCCAAGCTCTCAATTTGAGGAGTGAATTTAAGGGCCTGGAAATTGACACGACACCTGAGTTTCTGTAGATCAAGTGGGAGACCATTGTTTGCCAGTCGAGCATCTGTTTTGTTGAAGTGTAACACCTTATGGTTGCCAAGAAGTGGCAGAATCTGCATGGTAGAGGCAATATCTTTGAATCAAGCTCAACAGATAATAAGTGTTACTGTTGGAAAAGCAAATGAAAACAAAATTTTCTCTGCAGTTAAAAAAATTAAGTGCTGGATATCTACTTTGGCTGTAGCCATATCAGAAGAAATCCATTTGGAAATAGTTAAATTATTTATGATATCGAAGGACAATCTCTTGAAAGGTAACACACTGACACCTATACTTCCAAATTGAATAGGAAGGGCCTCCGTTAGTGGCATTTGTAATTTACCTTATCATCACATAATAGCCTAAATTAAATGATACTACAATATTTACACTAATAACAGCTCTAAGACCACTTTCCCTTCACAACAGAAAACAATTTAGGGGAAGTTAAAAATTCTAAGCGGAAGAAATATCACGGCCTTCCCATACACTGACATATTAAAAAGCCAGAAAGTCCTAAAACAGTAAATTTCAAGACATAAAGGTGAAGATAGAGAATCATTAATCAATCATGCTATCAACCTTATATTGCAGCAAACAAGAGGCTTAACTTATGCATAATGTGAGATTCAGGCTTAAATATAACAAATAAAAATAAACAGACCTGTTCCAAGTAATATTTTTCATTTGACCAGCTGACAGGAGGCATCTCCAGGGTGGTGTTGCCAAATTTTTTAACAAACTTTTTGGGCACTCTTTTTACTATTCGAACTTCATCTCTTAGAGAATCAATGAAATGCCTCACATCAAATATGTCCCCAAAATTACTGCAAAAGGGAAAGTAAAAACTTCAAAATGACAATGCAGTCAAACTAGAGGGTACTCAGAAGTTCACAGAACAAGGGAAGAACCTAGGGTCTGCCCAAAAGGACGTCTTATCAAGCTCTGGAACAACCAACGTGAGATTCAAGAATCGAGCAACAGAGACCATATCACAGATCTGAAATGCCAAATATGCAAAATAAGTACTTATTTCAATATATAATACCAAAAACAAACTACAATAAGATGCACAAACCGCCGCACGCATTTGATTCAGACCCCCATTGCAGGACACTCTCAAAAAACCATTACTTGTATAATTTCCTGAAAAATTACAATCGCAAGATTTTAGCACTTATCCAAATGAGTAAGCAAAGACAGATATATCATATAATCAGCATAAGTCTATTTATCACCCATCTGAAATGAGTATTCTTTAAATCAGTTATCTCCATTCAAATCGTCCTCTTAACAACTACAAGAATTGTGCAGCAGGATTTTCACAGAAGCCTATCCCAACAAACACAGAGAAGATGTGATTTTACTCTGGCACCAAGGCAAATGTCAAATAATTATATCAAATATGAAAATTGTTTGTACCATTGTGCAAAAAAACTCTCATCCGTTCCTACACAAAAGTCAACGTGCAAAAATATATTGCATGTGCATAAACCTATTTCATAAAACAAGAAAGCTTAAAACATGATATATTTACCAGAGCCTGAATGGCTAATCCTGAAGGATTTTTTTTCTATTATTATTTTTTTTAGAGAAAGGGGCCAAAATATCAGTAAAAGACAAATCTTGCCAGGCAAGCAGTTCTCCACACGTTGGCAAGAAATCAACCGACTAATATAGCCAAAAATAATTCACTAAGATTGTCCCCATATTTGAAATTATAGTAAGAACTTAGAAAATCAAGTCACAAGAACAAGTTGATCGCCTAGGATAGGGAAAGAATAACATGAAAACATGTCATACAAAATTCCAAACCTTTTCAATTTGTAAGCTCGTATGTTACTCAAGCTTCTAGATGGTTACACAATCCATAGATATACTCTAATACAAGCTTTGGAGCCAAAAATCACGGATTTCATCAATAATCAAAGCAAACAAGAGAAGATGAGCAGTAAGTCAGGAAACTAACTTGCGGGAAGAAGAGGGCGAGGAGAATGAACTATCTCATTTTCCACTTGGGAAGGAATCTGAACTTGAGCTGTGTTATGTACTCGACTAGTAATCCCAGAAATGAAATGTGAATTCCATAGTTCAGTAACTGTCACTAGCTGAACCAGACATGTCCAAAGCACAATGCTTGAGCAAACGCGAATAAACCAAATCCGCAAACGGGTCCTCGGTATCACAGGAGCCGGAAGTTTATCGTACTTCACTTGCATACCCTCCGATCTAACATCCATATTTCTACTGTATTCCTCATTGCCGCTTCATTGAACCTTAACCTTGAAAGAGTCTCCAACAATCCCACATTTGACAAATCAGTAAGAACCACCAAAAAGGGGAAAAAATTCTGTGTGTGTGTGTGCGTAAAAATCATCTGTACACAGTGCATTGTGAAATCTGTAACCCCATGAGAAGCGTTACCTCAGGCACAAAAGTTGCAATTAAGTGAATCAGACTGAGCCGCAGTGAAGAAACCTGAATCCAGAATTGAATCTGAAGCAGATTTGACAGGCCGATATTTTTAAATTCTATTTCTTTCCCAACCAATTGCCTCACAGAATCAGAAGCTCCACGGGAATTAATACAAAAAAGCCCTAAAGAAGAAGAGAGGGACCAAGAAACGAAGACGATCCAATGAATTAAAAAAATGAAGAAATTTCAACAACCAAACGCAACGGCCTCATGCATTTTACTCCCTTTTCCAGGAAAAGAAACTTCCTTTCTCGCTCTCTTTACACCACAATAACCAATTCGAACGAACAATCTCCTTATCTTTCTTTCAGAAAATTATTCTCTTTCTTCTCTATCTGTGATCTTCATGCTCAAAAATTTTATAGACGTGAGCGCGTGATTATTGGAGGTTTCAGGTTAAGAAAAATATTATTTGATGTCAACTAAAAACCAGTAGAAAAGTCCGTTCCTTAGAAAACCAATTTAGTATAAATTAAAGAAGGGAAAATATATTATAGTACGATGAATCCTATGACATGGTTGGTTTTACTTACATAGGATGCTAACCGTGAGCATGTTAAATTTCATTGAACGTAGGCTCTCCAAAGAATTGATGAATTACATTTATTGGCATGATAAAGAGAGTTGTAATCCAAAAATAAATTAGATTAACAGAATATGCACATCAGGGCCTGTCTCGTCTCAATGATGAATGTTCTTGTTCCACCATGAAATGGTAAATCAGGACCCAAAAGATTACGGCATTTAATATACTGACATTTTTTATTTTGACCAAGAAATATATGACATAATATATACTCCTTCATTTCTATTTCAAAGTAAATCATAAATATTTGTTTTATACTCTCTCAATTTCAAATTATAAGATATTTTTAAAAGATTTTTTTCATTCCAAATTATAAAACATTTTGAGTAGATTAAGATTTCATTAAATACATGAATTTTAATTTTATCTTTTTTTCTCTCTATAATTAATTCACATCTCCTTTTTTTTCAATATATTAAATGATGAGTATTTTAAAAATTTATATTTTTATTTTAAAAAGATAAGATTGTTAATTGTATTTAATAAAGTTTATTGATATGTGCAATTTTATTTAAAAGTATTTTATAATTTAAGATGGAGAGACTATAACACAACATGTGGAATTCCAAAAAAATGTAAATCACAGGCATAGAGAAAATAGGGAGAATTCCATTCAAAAACTTCTAAAAAATTATTTGTAAATAAAGATTAATATAAAATTATTTATTATTAAAATAAAATAAAAACTTATTTTTTAAAATAGTGATGTGTTGTTAGTTTTTTTTTCTTGTAAATAGTTCTTTTGGAAGATCTTGTACGTGATTTTTCCTAAAAGAGAAGGGTAAAAAATTACCCCTTTGAACTAAGACAAGTGAATTTGATTCATATTGAGTGGGGAGGAGGTACCTATTTTGTTTTCTTGTTCTATTTTACCTATTTATATGTTAACCTTTCATATGCCCCAAAAAAAGTAACCCTTAATCGCCATCTTTATACAATTATTTAATATATAATATTACCATATGATTATTGCCTGACCTAATTTAAGATAATTTTTTTAGTATGAGCCTTTTCTATTCATGATATTTGAATTCAATCTCATTTCAATGAATCCAAATCCATTCCAATCCAATTAGCATTGATATCATCCTCATAATTCCTTTTTATATAATTATTTTATTAGGTTAGACTTGAGTATTGTGGAGTTCCATTGAGAGTAGTTTCCCTTAAAGCTTTTTTTTTTTTTTTATATTCACATATACTGAAATCTTATTAAAAAAAAAAAACCTTGGTTTGCATTTTTCAA